GGCTCTCTATCCCTCTCCCTTCTTCTCTGTAAAAAATCAATAAAATATATTAAAAAAAAAAAAAAAAAAAAAAAAAAAAAGAGAGAAGAAAGGAAAGAGAAAAGGAGAGAGAGAGAAACATCAATTGGTTGCGCTGACCAGGAATCAAACCCACAACCTTTTGGTGTACGGGACGACACTCTAACCAACTGAGCCAACTGGCCAGGGCTCAGGCTAGAATGTTTAAAGTCATCTCTGACTTCTCTTCATTCCTTTGTCCCTTATATCCCGCTTGTCAACATATCCTAATGTTTCCTCTTTTGAAATCTCTCTCAGACTTGCCCCTTTCCATGTTCACAGCCTTGTCTTAGACGGCCTTTAAGCTTGGATTACCATGAAGCCAGTCCTCACTGGTTCCTCACCTTCTGGTCTAACCTGCCCCAAATCTACCCTCCTCACCACTGTCATTTGAATCTTCCCCAAATACTGTTGCCATACGATCCGTTGGGGTTGTTTATCCAGGACAAAGGAAGGCTGATGGAAAACTTGATAGCAGTCGGCCAGGAAATGGAAATTTGTCCTGTGGAGGGACCAGCAGTTTTACTTGTCTAACTCCAGAGGTCATAACTCAGACCTGTAGGGAGTCAGCTCAGAAAACAAGAATGCCTTGACAATTAGTGTCAACTGGACAGTCGTCAAGTTAGCAAGTTTCCCTATATACCCCCGTAATAGCCCAGTTAGAAAACAACCTAAAATAGAAAATCCGAAGAAATAACCTTTATTTGAAGGTGAATGATCTAAGTGAAGAAAACAACCAGATTTTGTTGAGAAATATGGGAAAACTTCAAGAAGAAAAACTTCCCTGGGTGGCAAAGTTAAAATTGTAAAGATGTCAATTCCTCCTTGATTTATTTTTAGGCTTCGTGTAATTACAGTAAAAATCACAATAGAGTCTTTTTAGAATTGGACATAATTATTTTTAAATTCATCTGGAAGAATAAACAGGGAAGATGGCAAAGAAAATTTTGAAGATGACTTAATTGGGAGCAGGAAAAAAACCCAAAAACATTATCCAGTTTATACATCAATTTAATAGATTGGCTAAGCAGAAATAGACCCAATTTCATATAAGCATTTTAAAAGAACAAAAGAAGCATTGCAACTAGTGGGGGGAAACGCATTAGAACAGTTGGTCAAGATGTTAAAAACCAAAACCAAAAACCTCTAACCTCAAACTGTACACCTAAAGTAAATAATACAATTTAACTGTAGAGAAACTAAAAGAAAATACATTTGAATATCTACTCTGAGAGGAGCTCCATTTAGAATTTTAGTATTAAAGGTCATGAAGATATAAGTCAACTATATCTCAAAAAATAAAGGTCATTATGGAAAATATTTTAGTTCATAAAAATGTAAAACTTCTGGGTTAAAACATGAAAGAAGGTCAAGTGAATAAGGATTATTAGTGGTAAATATGAGGAAGAGGCAACATTTTTATTGAAAAAATCAAACAAATTGATAAAAAATACTAAATTCCTTCTAGATCACTACCAGGATAAGAGTTTATATTCTTGCTCTGGCTGGTGTGGTTCAGTTGGAAAGTTTGCCGGTTTGATTCCTGGTCAGGGCACATTCCTGGGTTGCAGGTTCAATCCCTGGTTGGGGCCCATGCAGGAGGCAACAGATTGATATTTCTCTCTCTCTCTCTCTCTCTCTCTCTCTCTCTCTCCCCCTCTCCCTCCTTCTCTCTATAAAATCAGTTTTAAAAGAAAATAGTTCATATGTTTTCATTAAGCACCTACTCGGTGCAGCAGTAAGCAAGACAAGTGTGATCCTGCCTTCGTAGCTCTTTTGTTAGGTGGGATGATGTGGGTTACAAGTCAGAGAGAATACAACTCCAATTGGCTTAAGCAATAGAGGATCAATTTTACTGGCTCAGATGACAGAAACGTCTAGAGACGGCTCAGGTGAGCCTTCGTAGAGCACTTTGAGGTCTTACCTAAGACCCAGTTTTGTTCCATTTCTTCTCCTGCACAAGAGGTTGTTGCAGTGCTGAGAACGGTGTAAAATGGGAAACGTGCCCTACAGTCGAGCAATGGGTAAGCACATTTCAGATGCAGCCGTTCTGGAACATTCCGCATTCACTGCAAACGGCCTTTCTGAAGACTATGTCACACAGGGGACTGTGCTTAGAATGTTAAGTGAAAAAAGTAGGACACATAATTTTATGGACACTTATTACAGCTTTGAGAAAGAAAAACTGTTTCTAAAAAGGCTAGAAAGAACTACATCTCTCACACTTGTCAGAATGGCTATTATCAAAAAATCAACAAATGACAAGTGGTAAGGATGTGGAGAAAAGGGAACTGTTGGTGGGAATGTAAATTGGTGCAGCCACTGTGGGAAAGAGTTCCTCAAAAAATTAAAATTAGAGCTGTTCCACTTCTGGGTATTTATCCAAAGAAAAATGAAAACACTCATTTGCAAAGATATATGCAGCCCTATCATCATTGCAGCGTTACTCACAATAGCCAAGATATGGAAGCAACCTAGGAGTCCATCGACGGATGATTGGATAAAGAAGATGTGGTACATATATCCGATGGAATATTATTCATCAGTAAAAAAGTGAAATCTTGCCATTTGCAACAACATGGATGGACCTAGATGATATTATGCTAAGTGAAATTAAGCCAAGACATAAAAAGACAAATACTGTATGATTTTACTTACATGTGGAATCTAAAAAACCCCACAAAAAAACAACACAAACAAAACAGAAACAGACTCCTAGATACAGAGAACAAACTGATGTTTGCCACTAGGGAAGGGATTGGGGGATGGTGAAAAAGGTGAAGGGGATTAAGAGGTACAAACTCCCAGTTATAAAATAAGTCACGGGGATGTAATTTACAGCATGGGGAATCTAGTCAATAATGTAATAACTTTATGGTGACAGATGGTTACTAAACTTACCACATCATAAGGTATATAAGTGTAGACACACTATGTTGTATACCTGAAACTAATAAATATTGTATGTCAACAATCTATCTATATAAAACCCTAATATGCAAATAGACTGAATGGCACAACAACTGAACCACCGGTGCCTATGACGTGCGCTGACCACCAGGAGGCACACCCAGAACATGGCGGGCATCGGCTGCAGTGGGATGGTGGAGCAGGTGAGCTGGGGGCGCCAGACCAAGGCAGGGCACTAGTCACTGTCATCTGGGCGAGCCTCTGGTGGTTATTGAAAATTCTTTGCTCCTGTGCACCGTAGTCCCGCCCGGCACTCGCTCCTGCTGCCAATGCCAGCCCTGCTCGCACCCACTGCTGGCTCTGGCCCCAATCCCTCTGCGCCCGCTGTCAGTGGGTGTGAGCAGGGCGGCACTGTCAGTGTGTGGGAGCGGCTGCGGGCAGACAGGGGACCAGGGGCTGCGCGGGAGGGGCCAGGTAGGGCGTGGAGGATGGGCTGAGACCTGCCCCTGTGCCCACCGCAGCCCCGCGGCCCACAGTTCCTTTCAAGGTGCATGAATTTGTGCACTGGGCCCCTAGTACTTTAATAAAAATATATTCAATTTTTAAATATACCATAAACTGCTGGGTTACAAAGCCAATGACTGCATTTATGTGAGTCAATAATATTATATTTTAAAAATAAATAAATACAGCTAACTGCTAACCATGTTAGTGAAGTAGAATTTGTTTGTTTTTTGTTACCTTTAGTCTTCATTTTCCAAATTCCCTCCGGTGTTCACTCTTCTCTGTCCAGCAGGGCTGCGCTCCCGCACTGCCTGCTGCTCATGCCGATCATTCCTGTCTTTGTGCGTCTGCTGGTGTTATTTACTTCACCTGGAATGCCTTCCTCTTTTGACCTATTCACCCACTCAATATTTATTGATAATTGATATACCGGTATTGTGCAGCTTATGGAAGATAATGTATATGAAAGCAGTTTGTAAGGTGTTCACAGATGTTAGTGTTATTGTTAGGAGAGAACAAAGAGAAAGAGGAGGAAGAGGAGAAAAACACACCATTATTTGCACAATATTGTGCCAGGTGCTGGGGAGGTCAGGATGGAAAAATAGAGAACAGGGTTGTGGCCCTCCAGCACTTGCAATCTTGTCAGGTGGGTGGGAGAAAAACCGCCCCCGGTGGAGTAGGAATGATAATGTGATCATGTAACAGGTGAAATGCTAATATGAGAGAAGCAAAGAGCGCTGTCCGAGGAAGTGGGGAGGATGTGGAGTTCCAACCAGGCCCTGAGGATTTGGGCAGGTAAGTCCAAGGAACTGGAGATAAATGTAGAATGTGTGGGGGACAGTGAGTCCCGCTGAAGAATCCTACTGGAAAGTCGGGGGAGGCTAAGGGGACTGGGAGGCAAATAAGGTGGGCCTTGCCAGGGGAGTCTGGATTCTAACCTTGAAAGCAACAGGTCTCCATTGGAGTTTTTTAAAAATTAGTATGTACGTTCCAGAGGGGGCAGGGATCTTCCTTGTTTGTCTTGTTCAACACTGAATCCCTAGTACTTAGAAGAGTGGCGTGTCCCTAGTGTATAGAAGAGTGAAGAGTGATGCCTGGTGCATAGAAGGTGCTTAATAAATATTAGTGAAGGGAAGTTGGAAGGAATGAATCATAGGAGTGACATGGTAAACTAGGAAGGCTAATCCAAAAGAGGTGGATGGTGTGGATTGAAAAGGTAAAGGAGAGGGCAAAGAGACAAGTGGATAGACTATGAAGACACCTTAGGTGCGAAGTGATGAAGAACTGAGCTGGGTTAATGGCTGCTGACCCGGAAAGGAAGGCACTGGTGTGAGTCATTTGGAAAGAACCGAGAGGCCTTTGTGACTGACCAGTTGGATACAGGAGACGGAGAGGAAAGAATAAACGATAACATCAAAGAAAGTTACTCATGCTTCAGGACTCAGCCTGAATTGCCCGTCCAGGAGGCCTTCCCAGGATTCTCAAGCCCTGCTGTGTGTTTCCTTTCCGAACTCAATTAACACAAATAATCCGTTTCACCCGGTTTTAGGATGTAATAGTTGTAACACTATAATCCAGGCTTTGCATATGTTTGTTTCCCTAACTAGATTGTAAGCTTTGAAGTGTCAGGGACAGCTCTAGTCCCCAGAGTGCCTGGCCCTAGTACTGCCACAAAGTAGATGCTTAGTAAGTCCTCACTGATCTAGTAGAAACCTGTATTCTCTGGGTGCTCACCTGTTTCTTTCTTTTTAAAAAAAATTGTTTTCATCTACTCAGTTTGTTTCAGAAAGTGAGGACGAGGCAGATCCTGAGTACTAATATCCTCCCCATGTAAGGGTCAATTCCAACTTTCAGCATTGCCTTCAGCAGTAGTTCATTTATTCATTTGTTCTCGTATTTAGTCAGTCATTCAACAAGAGGGGAATAGCGAAGTATCCACCTTAAGCCAAGGAGTCAGCATGGGCTTTGGATCTTGCTTATAATCTTAGATCTGTCATTTACTGGCCATGCTGGTTTGGAAAAGTTACCTAATCTCTCTCCTCTTTAATTTCCACATCCATAAAATGAAGGCAATGACATCTACTTAATAACAACGTTTACCGAGTGCTCACAATGTGCCAGGCGCTATCATCTCATTCCCGTTTTACAGATGCGGAAATTGACACATGGGGACAGTAAGGATGCATAGGTAGGACATGTAGAACCAGGACCTGGTCATAGGCAACCCAGTCCCTTATTCTCAGTGCTGTGATTTAATAATTCGCATTTTCAGTGTCTGCTGTGTGCCAGTCATGCTACATAGGATCCTTACACATAGTTTTGTGTTGATCACTGCCAGCCACACCTGTGGCTGAGAATAAGGGCTCTGGGACTGGATTCTCCTAACCAGGCCACATTTAGTCAGCCAGGGAACCTGAAAACACGAGGATTTTTAACATTTGCCAAGTGGAGGAATTACTGCACCGCAGGTTTCAGCCACAAGAGGGCAGCAGGTCCTTCTTTCCACGTGGCCCCGGAAAGACCAGCAGGCTCTCTCCTCAGGCGTCCCCTGGATCCCTGGAGTTTCCCTGTTGTAAATCACAAACGCACTTCTTTGGCAAAGGGCAGCCAGCCAGGTTGGGGTGAGACCGGGGAGCAGTTCTGCAAATTAAGTCTAGTATCGGAAAGATAAAAGACCAGGACTAAAACGAAATTGGATTCTAAGAAAGTAAATATTTTATGAAAAACTGAAAATATATCCCTGTCCTAGTTTAAGTTGCCTCCGGGCAAGCTGTAAGATGATTTTAAAAACTCATTTGTAAGGCTCCTGTGTTAGACCAGCATTTCCTGGAGTTCTTGCAAAGTTTCAGTTCATTTTGCTCCTGTTTAAGAAGCCCTTACTCAGGAGAGACCTGGTTGTGGAAGTTTCCAGAAAGCCCAGCCAAGCCATACACTAATTTTTTTTTCTTTTTTCTGGAGAGGATGAAATAACCAGAACTGTCATGTGTCTACTGAATGAAGAGCATCAGCCTGGGCACCTTCCGGGTATGAAAGGAAGGAGAGGAAGCTCGGTGAGGGTGGTAAGGAGGGCTGGGCACTGGCCTGGCTTATCCTACCATGAGGAGCCCCATTCCCTCCTCTATCAAATATCAGGCTCCGCAGAGTTCTAATCAGCGATCATCACATTTCAGATCATACAATGGCCCAAAGATCCCCAATGACCTGTCCAAGGGCCTTTTCAGATACAACCAATCTTGATTCCTTGAAAAGACCGTTCCCATTAGATTACAATCTTACAAAAGACGCAGAACATCCACGTAACAAGAACGTAAAGATCGGATCTTTACATAGAAACATGACGTTAGTCCCTCACCAGCAAGAGGGCTAGAGCTGCCATTTGTTTCCCCCCTTCCCCAGGGCGATGGAGGGATGATGATGGGGCGTAAGCTGCTCACTGCCTCACTCCTCCAGCCTCATTCCTGGACCGCTGCCACATGGCCAGTGTTGCCCAAACACACCATGTCCTTCCTTCCCTCTCTGCCTTTGCATATGCTGTTCCCTCTGCCTGGAATTCTTTCCCCTGCCTTATCCTTCTAGCACGTTTTTACTCATCCTTCCAAACCCCATTCAAATGACACTGTTTGGTGAAGTCTTTCCCTGGTTCCCCAGAGACTCCCCAGAAAATTATTCATCCTTCATCAGTGTTCCCATAGCAGATGGTACAAGACTTATCACACTGTAGAACCATTATTGTTGTTGTTTTTTTCATATATGCCTCTCCCTTCACCCCGACCCAAGAATTCCTAAAGGGCAGGGGCTGATGATTTATCTGTGTCCCCGGGCCTGGCCCAGTGCCTGGCACATGGTGGGTACTCAGTCAATGGCAGCTGAACAGAAATGGATTCCCTTTTCTGTACCCAGCAGGCGGGTTGCAGGGTGACTGACCAGGGTCACTGAACAAAAGAGAATCATTTCTGGAGGGAGCCCGGGTACCAGGAGCTCAATGCGGACGCCTGGTTGCTAACAGTCAGTGTTTGCGCACTGGGGGCCGCACATCATTCTCGCTGGACGCCAGTTGCCTAGAATCTATTTTAATTACACATCACAGGTAAGGAGGGACCTTCTGATAGTGTGATTAAGCTCTGGGATGGGAATTTAAGGGAGTGGTGGGTGCTCCGTGTTAAAAGATCTTCATAACCTATGATATTTTTTGGAAGAGACTGGAGTAGATTACATATGAATAGAGACCTTTGATTTCAAGTTTACATGATAGAACTCAGCTCTGGGCACCAGACATGGGGTGGGGGTGAGGACTTTGGTCGATTCAGGTGGAATTACCTGGCCCAGCCGTGCAGGGGTGCTGGGGCTGGATACAGAGTTGTCGCTTCTCTGCACAGCTCCTCACAGCTTTGCCTCATTTGCAAACATCTGCGAGATCAGTAAATATTAGTACATATGTGTTGGCAGTAAATAGATCCTGCAAGAGCTGCCAACACCCACTGGTGCTCGTGCTTGTCTCTGGATCCGTCTCCTCTCTGCCTCCTTGTCCCCAAGGCTCTTGGTACGGACGTGGGGAGAGCCAGCTATAGACGGAGGACTAGGAAGCGAAGGAAGACAGCTGCAGGTAACCTCCAAGGGGACAGTCCGGGGGGTGGCAGCTGCTTCTATTCTGCTCAGGGGGTTTCCTTGCAGGGCATTTTTGGGGGTGGAAAGTCTTGCTCTGCGATTCAGTGAAAACAATCATGGTTTAAGGAGAAAGGGAGAAATGGTACATGATGGGGAAAGAAGTGATCGATGAGGCTGGGAAAGGGCTACCACCCACTAATTAAAACAGACAAAAGTTCAACATGACAGTTAGTAGCGAGAACCATGAATTTAGATTGTACATTGTCAAGTTTAGAACAATTCCTTTTCTCTATATCTTAAATAGCTTCAGTTTTATTAAAAAAAAATTTTTTTTGGTGATAAAATGTACATATAACACAGTGGTTCTCAACCTTCCTAATGCCGCGACCCTTTAATACAGTTCCTCATGTTGTGATGACCCCCAATTTCATTGTTACAAATTGAACATAATTAATGCATAGTGATTAATCACAAAAACAATATGTAATTATATATGTGTTTTCCGATGGTCTTAGGTGAACCCTGTGAAAGGGTCGTTTGACCCCCAAAGGGGTCTCGACCCACAGGTTGAGAACTGCTGATATAACATAAAGCCATTTTATCCAGTTTTAATTGTACAATTCTGTGGCATTATGTACATTCATATTGTTGTGTGACCATCACCACCAACCATTTCCATAACTTTTTCATCTTCCCCAACTGAAACTCCACACCCATTAAACAACAACTACCCATTTCCTCCTCTCCCCAGCTCCTGGCAACCACCATTCTACTTTGGGTATGAATTTGACTACTCTAGGAATCTCATATAAGAATAATCATACATTTGTCCTCCGGTGACTGGCTGATTTCACTTAACATAATGTCTCTTCAAGGTTCATCTATGTTGTAGCATTGCCTCACTGTTGTTTAATTAAACTATTTTCATAAGTGTGCCCTGCAGAAATATTATTTCTTGAAGTATCTCCATAGATAGATGAAGTAGGTGTCACCATCTCTAGGTTGCAGCTGGAGAAACCAAGTTGAAGAGAAGATAAGTGCATCAGATATAATCGGCTGCTTAATCCAAATTTATCCTCCTCGTACTCCCTTCCTCCCATCCTCTTTCTTTTGGCAGAGCCCGTTTTGTTCTTGATTCACTGGCCAGCTATGCACACAGGGAAGTGGCTACTCTTAGCCCCAGGATATACCTCGATTAGTTTGAATCAACCATAGTCATTTCAGCTCCTTTGCCAATGACTGGTGTAGAAGATCAGCAGGTGATAAACTTTTGGCCCACAAGGCATGAAAGCTGACGCAAGGCTTCCAAAGAGGGTTTCTTTACTTTTACAAATAGACACAAGAAGCAGCTTGCTATTTGCTGCTTTTCAATGTGGTGGCCACGTGTGTAGGTGATGCCTGGTGCTCAGCAGCCACTTTGCCACCATGAGAGTAATTAGCCAAACCATACACTGAAGATGGCAGAGGAGAGAGATGGAAGAAATCTGGATCCTTTATGATATGAATGAATGGATGAATTAACCAACTCTGGAATATCCACTGTGAATCTTGCTATTTATGTGAGATCATGAATTTCCTTATTGATTATTTATTTTTTTAAAAGATATATTTTTATTGATTTCAGAGAGGGAGGGCAGGAGGGAGAGAGAGAGAGAGAGAGAGAGAGAAAGACATCAATGATGAGAGAGAATTATTGATCCGCTGCCTCCTGCATGCCCCCTAATGGGGATTGAGCCAGCAACCCAGGCATGTGCCCTTGACTGGAATTGAGCTGGGACCCTTCAGTCTGAAGGCCGATGCTCTATCCACTAAACCAAACCAGCCAGGGCAAGTTTCCTTATTGTTTAAAACACTTTTGAATTTTCTGTACTTGCAGCCAAAAGCACACTAAACACACATTAAGAATTAAAACTAAACAGGAACTAACGCAGAGGGCCCGAGTCTCACGCCTTTTCCCACTGGGTAATGCTAACAATGCAGAAGACATTACTTTGTTATGAGATCGCCCAAACCACAGCATTACTTCTCAACTGTTGGCTCTGGGAGTTGATTTCTAGGACAAGAAAACTGGGGTTGATTTTGACGAAAAGGAGGGAGGCCTGGAGAAAATGAAGAGCCATAGCTCACAGAGGGACAGTGGCCTAGGGAGTCACCAATGGAAAGGTGGTGAAAACTGTCAGTTGGGAATGGCCCTCTGAAACATGACAGTCAGGTGCGGTGAAAGGGAATGACAGAAACAAAGTCAGCCAGTGTAGCTGTAAGAGCTTTCTCCCCAATGGGAAACCCAGCCAATCTCAGAGAAGTCGTGTGTCGCCAAGTAGAAGACAAGGGCATGACATGGTGACCAGATAAAGGGCTTTGAGATTCTACAACTGCAGAAGGCTGATAGAGAACTAACATAATGATAACCACACACTAAGCAGATACGAAAGAATTCTCTGTTTTGGCTTAAGCTAGTTTATGTCACTTGCAACTAAAGGAATCTTGACTGATAAATCCTCTCTAGTCTCTAGGTACTATCCACTCTTGCAAATCAGTTACTCAATTTACTAAAAGAGTAATTTTTCATGGGGTCTTCATGGGAGAAGTGCAAAAAGGTAATGAAGAGGAAAGAGGAGTCAGAATTAGGGCAACAGCCTAAAAAAGGGCCCCCCTTTTTTTTTGTTTTCTTCAATCCCCAAATCCACAGGCAAGGGCATGCCTTATTGCCTCACACAAGCCGTTTAATTGTTCTTATAGGATTGAGTTCAGGCAAATGATCTGCGAAGTGACCTTTGACAAGTCATTGTTCCTCGCTGGGTTCTATTTCTTTTCTTGCAGGGTGTGTGGAGGGGGCCGTTTCTTTATCAGCACAATGAGGGAATAGGGTTGGATGTGATATTTATTTAATAAATGATTAATAAAAGCTGTGTGCTTAACATTCTGTTAGGTGTTTTCCACATATGACTCATTTGATCCCTACCGTGTCCCTATGCAGCAGGTGATATTAGCCACTTTATGGTCCTTTTCTGGACTAACATTCTATCGACACTTGTTGAGCTCCTTCTCTTGTGCCTGCAATACACTCCGAGGGCACAAGTCACATGTGGCAAATTCCTTGTTTCCAAGGGGCTTATGATCAGGTTGCAAAAGTAAAACTATTCGACTGTTCTGGTCTAAACTGAGTGGCACTGACCATAAATGCAACAGGAGTTACATTCGTTACCTACTGCCATGTAACAAACGACTACAAATGTATTAGCTTAAAACAACACACATTGATTTGCTCACAGTGTCTGTGAGTCAGGAGTCTGAGCTCAGTTGAGCTGGGCCGTCTGCAGGGTCTCAACACCATCCCGCAACAAGGTGTTGCCTGGGCTGTGTTCCTTAGTGGAGCCCAGTATCCTCCTCCAAGCTCATGTAGTTTTTGGCAGAATTTCTTGCAGGTATAGGACGGAGGGTCTAACTTTCTTGCTGTCAGGTGGGGGCAAATCTCAGTTCCCGGAGGCTCCTACAGTTCCCTACTGTGGGCCTTCTCTGTAGACGGTTCACGGCAATGCAGTTTTCTTCCTCAAGGTCAATTGGGGACTCTCTTGCTCCAGTCTCCTAAGGACTGTAACGCAATGCAACTGTAATCATGTGAGTGGCACATCATCACCTTTGCCATATCCTATTGCCAAGAAGCAAGTCACAGGTCTTGCCCAAACTCAAGGGGAGGGGATGACACATGACTTGCCTGGGGGGTGAAGGGCGTTACAGGAAGGCGTGTATTTGCCGAAGGAATTTAGAAAAGAGGAATGTCAGAGTAAACTGGAATCCTCAGGGGAGGCTTTATGGAGAGACTTTTTAAGCTGGAGTTTGAAGAATGAGTAGAATTTAGACCAGCCAAGGGTGAACAAGAAGAGGCAGGACAAGAACCAAAGGACAGATGAGCAGGTGGGACTCTCACCGAAATATTTCCTACACAAAAAGCTAATTGAAACCTGCTTCTTACATCACAAAGGGTAGGAGAAACTTTTTTTTTTTTTTTTAACTAAAAGGAAGCTGTATTGTGAAAAGAGTCCTGGCCTTGATATCAGAAGATTTGGGTCCAAGGTTTAGCTCGGCTATTAACTGGCAGTGTGCTTGGGGCCTGCTGGTTATCTGAGCCTCGATTCTTGTGAATGCTCCTACTTCCGTGTCATTGTGAGGACGAAACATGCTCTTGGATGGGAAGTACTCTGCATGCTGTCCAGGTCCTATTTCCAAAAGCAGCTTTATCACCTTCCAAGACCCCCCCCCGCCCCCAACTCTCTCTGGGTCTCCAGCTCTCTGACTCCTCTCTTTCACTTGGCCCTCTTCCTCATGAAGTCTCCTTAATGAGGGAAGGGGCACATTCTCTGGGTTCTGGCCTTGGCACTCGTCTCATTTCACTACAGGCTCTGCCTTGGGACTCTTATTCACCACCACCTATAACCCAGAACCCATGGCTCTCAAATCTATGCTCTGGCCCAGACCCCTTTCCATTATGTGTCCAACCAATTGCTGATCAATTTCTCTTGGGTCTCCTGCAGGCCTCAAATCCAACATACCCCAAACTGAACTCATTATCTTCCCAGCAAACCTCTTCCTCTTCCTTTTCATGCCTGGTCTTGGGGAAATCGCACCAAGTCGGGAATTTTATGACATTCTTTCCTCCCCACCTTCATGCCTGAGATCTAAGTGGCTAAGTCCTTTCTCTCCATCACCACTGCCCCAGTTTGAATTTCATCAGTTCTCACCTGAATCAGTGCGACTGCTTCTTAACCGATCTACCTCATTTTGTTCTCCAAGCTTACTGCAGCACAAATTAGATAATACTGCTGCTCTGCTTATAAGCATTCAGAGGCGCCTAAATACTTAGGGATGAAATTCAAACTCCTAGGCATGACACTCAGTACGGAAGCCCTCCCAGATCTGATTCTTGCCCACCTCCTCCCACCCATGACCCTCCAGTCCTACTGAACTGCTTCCTGTTTTCACACTACACCACATTCGTCCAAATCTCTGTGTGAATACACTGTTCCCCTCGTCAGAAATGCCTTCCACCACTATCCTTCTCTGCCTTCCTAACTCTTCCCATCCATGATTACTCAGCTTCGCTGCTTCACTTTGAAGGCCCCTGCTCTTGTGCACCCCTAGCTCAGCTCTCATTATTCAGGAGTGCCAAGGTCTCCATTATAATTGTCCTTTTTTTCTGCTGTCTTGCTAGATGGTGAGTTCTCAAGACCAGTAATGATGGCTTGTTTTATTTTCTGATGCTGATGCTCTGATCACCTTTTCCTCCAATCTGATCCTTTCTAAGTATTTTTTAAAATATTTTTTGAACAGGCAACACATTCATCTGTCCAAAAATTCAGAAATTACAGAAAGGAAAAGTCTCCCTCCTGCCCCTGGCCCCATCTCTGCTGTCCGGTTCTCCTCCCCAGAGGCAAAGTTGTCAGTTTTGTGTGAATACTTCCAGAGATACAAACATACCTATGGTCCCCCTTTCACACCAAGATGGTGTATGTCCCCCTGATTGTGCTGCACCCCTTTTCCACTTACTTATGTACAGTATCCTTGTGGCCATGCCATTTCAGTACATAAACAACTTCCTTATTCTTTATTTGGTTACTCAGTTTTTTATTGTGGGTGTATCATAATTTAATCAATGAACGTTAGGTTATTTCCAATCTTTTGTGAACACAAACGATACTGCAATTACTAACGTCACAAAATGTCATTTCACACATGTTCAAGTGTGAGAGTAGAATGAACTCCTAGAAGTGGAATCCCTAGATCAAGGAGTACATGCCTTCACATATTGCCATATTGCCCTTCATGGAGTTAGTAGATATCATCGTATTGATCTTTGTATTCCTAGTCACTATCACAGAGCCTAGAACAGAGTAGGCATTCAGTACTTTTTTGTCAAATTAACAAATGAAAAAAAAAAAAGTTCTTTTAGTGGAAGCTCCCTTTTTCTTTTTCTGATGCTGTGCTTTAGTGGAGATGTTTCTTCCCATCCAGCACTCAGGTCAAACCGAATGATACTACATGATCAACCCAAATGCCATTATTATTTAAATTCTTGTTTCAACTTTTATTAATGTCCATATTGTGTAACTAATCAAGACCCTTCTTAATTAGCTTGGTTATAAGGTCACAATTTTTATGTTCTAATATAACAAATTTGAATCCTCATATTTTGTGAGATATCTTAATTATTTTTACTGGATTTTTATTTTTCTTCCTCTGAGCAATTCCTGGAAACCCTTACATAATTCATAAATTATTTCAGGGGGCTGCTTGTTGCTTTTATAAGTCATCAGGCCTCTGTAAGTTAACTTCGACTGTCTTTTAACTATGTATCCCTGTTGCTGCTCCTGCATCCATTGCTTATTAGCTGTGTCACCTCTCTATTCCTGGCTATTCATCTATAAAATAGGGACATTATTGGTTTGTGAGGATTAACTGAGATTATAGATAATCTTACCATAGTGTTTGGCACATAGTAATGTTGAGAGAGATGGTCCTTGGTGAGTTTTTAATGCTTCTACTCATCTTCCTGGGAATGCCAAGAATGCAAGGCTCCTCTTTGCTAGGGTTGTGTTTATAGTGAGTGACTCTGAGGGATGAAATAATGTCTTCCTCCAGGACAAGGAACAGGTTTACTTACTGCTTCCTATTAAATGGTGGGCTCCCCATGCCCAGTGTTCCTCAGCCATGATGTAAATCCACCAAGAGCAAAGCTTTCATCCGAGCCCGTGAGACTTGGGGGACAAGAGGAATTGACACAAACATGCTGAAGCTCATGTTGCTTCTTGTTTTGAGTCCTTTGTCTCTTACCCAAGAATCTTGTGTCTTTTATCAACATCCATGAAACAGTAACAGACTAACCTATTAGCCTTCCAATAGGTAAAATCAAATACCAGACTTGAGTATTAAATGCTTAAGATATTTACATTATTTTTGCTCTTGCTCTTCTTACTTGCTTTTCCTAGGCATTCTGCACAATATCTGTAAGTTTGTGTTTGGGAAGGTAGCCAAAACACATCAATTGCTGCCATTTGCAAATAATTCTACTGTACTGTTGGGGGAAACAAAATGAATTAGAAATAAAGGTGACTTTGAAATCATTGCTCAATTGAAATTACTTAGCCACACTAATATTGTTTTAAATCAGTAAGGCCATAGTTTCCTCTCTCTATATATATTTCTGTATAGTTGGGGTCCTATTTTTTAAAAAAATATGTTTTTATTAATTGTTAGAGAGGAAGGAAGAGGGAGCGGAGAGAGAGAAACATCAGTCTCAATTGGCTGTCTCCTGCATGCCCCCTGCTGGGGATGGAGCCTGCAAACAGGGCATGTGCCATGACCTGAATCCAACTCACCACCTCTTGGTACATGGGCCCACGCTCCACTACTGAGCCACACAGGCTGGGCTGGGGCCTACTTTTTATGTAATTGCAATACAGGAAAAGTTGCACAAATATAACTGGGCCTTAGTTCCTGTTACTTAATAGCTGGATGACTTTGAGCACTCTAAGGTTCAGTTTCCTAATATGTGAAATACAGAAACTAATTCATCCAGTAGTCTCAAGAGGTTGTTGGCGCCACGGAATAAAACGATGTATGTGACCACCTGTGCAAATGAGTTGTTATAACTTAAGACTGTATTGAATTACAAACGTTAACTCGCCCTAATATTATTGGCTTAGAGCCTATGAAATAAGAAGAAAAAAAAAAAAGACATCAACAGTTGAATCAGTCTGCCACACACTCACTATCCAACAGATGAAACGCCTAAGAGCATAAAAGGAAAACTACAACTCCCAGCAGGCCTTGCTCCCGACTGCGTCATATAACCTCAACTCCCGCAGGGCCCAGCACCCGCTCAGCCCCCACGGCCCATAAACTACATCTCCCAGGAGGCTCCACAGTGCACGACGTCCTTCTTCCCTCGCCTCGTGTCGTCCCTCACCCCGGCCTGCAGCTCGGGGCCCACGGGGGTCCCGCGGTCGGCCGCGAGCGCGCGGGGGGTCGCGCGGCTGCGGAGCGGCGCGAGCGCGCGCGGGAGGGAGTGGAGGCGTCGGGGGTCGCGGGATACGGCTCGCTGGCTCGCAAGATGGCGGACGAGGACGGGGGAAGGGGATTTCACCCCGCAGCCCCTCACCGGAACGGAGGCGGCGGCGGCGGCGGGGGTTCAGGGCTCCACTGCGCCGGGAACGGCGGAGGCAGCGGCCCGCGGGTCGTGCGCATCGTCAAGTCCGAGTCCGGCTACGGCTTCAACGTGCGGGGCCAAGTGAGCGAGGGCGGGCAGCTGCGGAGCATCAACGGGGAGCTGTACGCGCCGCTGCAGCATGTGAGCGCCGTGCTGCCCGGGGGGGCGGCCGATCGCGCCGGGGTGCGCAAGGGGGACCGCATTCTGGAGGTGTGAGTATCCGGGCTGCCCGCCGCCCCACCCCGCCCCAGACCCTCCGCTAGTCCGCGCACCTCCCCTCGACCCCTGTCACCCTCGGGCCGAACCTCCCCCCGCCCTGACCCGCCCCGGGGACCCCGGGCCTCGCACCTCCCGGGGGTGGGCTCCGAACCACACCCCTACTTTTCGCGACCCCCCACCTGGCTCCCTTCGGTCTTCAGTCTCAGCCCCTGCACCCTTCCCGCTGTTACCCCCGCCCCCATTCCTTCGGCTTCGTGTCTGCCCCTCTGCCTTCCCCGGGGGCACGTTACTCGCTGCTCCTCGCCGCCCCGCGCTGTGCTCGTAACTGGCTGCTCACCGGCCGCAGCTCCTCCTCTGACCCCGCCGCTGTGTGTGCTCCCCAAGTTCTCACCCGCGGCATCAGAGTTTGTTGCTCTCCACACTCCCGGCAGCCCCGGAGCGCCGTCCCCGCTGCCCTCCGGCCCAAATGGGGAGAACCTCCGTCTTCTGCTTTTCCTCCGGAATCCTCGCTCCGCCCCGGACTCCTTTTTCTTTCCTTGGGTCCCCTCTCCTTAGGGCTAAGCACCCCTACCTACCTATGTTCCTGTCCTGCGGTGTGGCCCCTCCTCCCTTCCTCTTTGTATGCATTCTCCTAGAAGACCTGATTTTCTGACCCCTGCATGCGTGTTTGGTTGGTTTGGTTGGTTTGGTTTGGTGGTGGTGGTGGTGGTGGGGTCTTGGACCTGCAGTTTCTCTGCACAGTGGTCTCAGGTACATACACCAGGATATTGAATCTGGTGTCTCCTCCACCACCACCTCCCTATGAGTGCATCCCTCTTCGGCCCCCTGTGTTCACTCCTGCCCCAAACTCAACCTTTGTGTTTTAGTCGACGATTATAAACCCCCTTTTGGGTCTTTGACCTCCCCGCTTTTGCAGGGCGGGCTGTTTCCACGCGCGCTCCTACTCTGTCTTCCTGTGATCCCACGCCTGACTTTATCCTCATCTTTCTCGCCCC